TAGGACCCGTAGATAGCAGAAATTAGCAGATTTTATCCAGCCCACCCACCCCTTTTCTTTAGAAGGTGAGGGATATGTGATACTTAGACTATCCAAGTCAATCTGATACTCACAGCAGGTGCAGATGGACACACGCACTTCTTACGACCCTATGAGCAGATGAGCAGTGCAACTGAATGCTGACCACGAAGTAAACGAGTGCACAAGCTTTTCGCTACAATGCTGACTCTTGACCTTGCACGTGCTGGCGATAAGGTGTCGGTCCACTGCTGGTGTGGGCCGTCCCGTGCCATTACAGCGGGGAAACTGCCGCGAACGTTCTTGTGGCACATCCTGCTAGCTTGTAGAGTTGCGGCGAAATCCATGGAGGTACACACACACAGCATACATGGGAGCTCTTTCCGGAGGCTCCGATCTCACACGCAACGTTAGCCGAGGTGAGCTGTGCCAATCGCATCCGCGCGTCTGTGGTACCACCGGCTGTGCCGATCGCTTCCGTTCTTCTGTATTTGTACCAGCTCCCCCCGCAGGGACATCAAAACATGCATGACGCCGAAAATGTTTTTTGGCCACAGAGGTGCAGCAGTGTGGCATGCACGTATGGTGCAGTTGTGATGATGAAAGCGACGCACCCCACTCTACCGGTCGCGCACCCCGCAAAGGGAGTCGTTTGCCCCGTGCCGTTCGTCGGAATATGCGTGTGTATTGAGAACCTCTGGCACCCTGCCAATCCGCAGCTCGCAAGGAGATGTGGTCGAGCGATTGTTTCCGAAAAGTCAACGGTTACATGGACAAGAAGACCGTTCGAGCGCAGCCAAGGCAACGGCCGCGCCAACCCAACACTACCCAATCCTACCCAACCCTAACCTACTCGACTCAACCCAACCCTGCCCACACCCCGAGCGACGGCCCCAAAGGCCGCTCCGACCCAAACCTACTCAACCCAACCCAACCACAATGCAGGTGAAAGTCACGCACAACCTTTTTTTTTTTTTTGGTCTTCACTTCAAATCAGCGCTCACAGCACTAAAATAGTGCCGTTCACTCCCAACCCGTGGTCACACAGAAGAGCCCCTCTCTACCCTCCCCTCCTGCGGTACTTTGCCTTTGATTTTTAATGCGAGAAGAGTTCAGCACTCTCTTCCCTCTGTGTACACACGAACTAGCGCTATCCACTATAGGCCAGAGGAGCGGAAGCGAGAGAAAAACTCACGTTGCAAGAAAAGCTCGCTTATTACGCCGGGATTCGAACCCCTGGCCTGACCTCGACGTAGAAAGTTTCGAGGATACCAACTAGACCATGGGGGCGACCGGCTATATATGGGGGTGATTATTTCAATAAATTGTTGTAGGGATTTTCAGGTTTTCAGGTTTGGGAGTACATATCATGTTTACACAGGATGGTCGTCGTGACGTGATACATTTCTTGTTGTTAATATGAAAAAAAAAAAAGATGGCTCGATTTTTGTATTTCTACAGCAGTATGGACCAGACGCCGATTGTACATAGAAGTCGTACGAGTGTCGACTTAGTTGTGCTGTCACAGCATCTTCCACGCACTTCTGCCAGTGCTGGTTTGTTGATTGGAGTCTTGTAGGTCGAGATACAGCCGTGAGATTCTCGGGTTGTGGAGGCAAAAGTGAACCAGAGCAAAAAATTGCATGGATAGCTCGATTACTGCTGTGTTTTTGCTACAGCAGTATGGACTAGACGCCGAACGACGTCCGCGTACTACGGCAACGACCTAACTGGATGGGATACTTCCTGTCACGGCGAACCATAGTACAATGCGATGCAAACATCCGTTCGTGTGTCGTGCGGCTGCCACATGTGTCGACGACAGGTACACGTAGAGCTCTCGCCATGTTGTCGTTACCGCGCAGGAGAACCCCTCGGAGATCTTCCACATGGTGCTACAACGACAGCAGTACTACTGTACATAGATGTCGTAGGAGAGTGGAGTTGTGCTGTCACGGCATCTGCCACGCACTCTCCTACCGGTGCTTGTGTCGATTGGAGTCTTGTAGGCCGAAATACAAGAAGAGTGGGTTGGGTTCCCGGGTTGTGGAAGCAAACCTGCCTGCAACAACAGAGAAGGCGGTGTTCTATTTACTACGGTATCCCTCAACTTTTTTTTTTTTTTGCGACATGTGTTGCATATTTCTTTGCCACTGCCGAAAAAGATCGCTGGATCTTTACGCAGTCCATGTTTCGCACTCATCATTTTACACCGAACGACGCAGGACGGGTCGACCTTAATCATTGTTGTTGTTGTTGTTGTTGTTGTTGTGTCTTTACATTGAAAACCGTTCGATCTCTCTCTACCCAGTACCTTCATATGTCTGTACTTGTGGATTACCTGTTGGAATTTTTGGGAATCCCTTCATTCCGAGAGAGCCATAGGTCGGCATCCGGCCTTTTCTTTTTTTGTGCCATGCACTTTTCTTCTTGTGAAGTTTTGACGTTGCGCTTGCCATCGTCGCTTAAGTGTTTGTGTCTTCAACCTTTCTCAGCCGACCTTCAAACTTCTTGTTGATAAGTCTCCGTGGTAATTTCTCCACGCATGATGAGTCTTATGCAGTTATGACCTGCGCTTTGACTTTCACTATGGGTATTTTACCTCCCCGTCTTGCATTGGTGAGTACCTGCGTTATACGAAAGGATCGTTCCACGACGCAAACGTCAACGTCTCCTTTTTTTTATTTTTTTCCTTCGCACTCCTTCCTTGTGGCGGTTTTCACACCGACTTGGAACGTGGGGTGCAATTTCCTCTCTTCGTACCTTCCTCGTCGGCCTTCTCCATCGTTATGTACATAATGTATACCTCGATTTTTCGGCTTTTCGATTCCGATAGACAAGACTACGGACTGACGTGTCCCTTTCACCCCCGACGGGACCGCGCGCTCGTCGAGTGCCGAAATTCTTCACCACTTCCTTGCCTCTCCCAACACCGTCCCTTCTTCCCGCCCCTAAAAATCCTCTCCCCTTCTTCTTCTTCTTCCCTTCCTGCCGGACAATCACCACCATCCGTCCAGGATGTTGGCCCCCAGCCCCATTGGGGGGCGGGGGGGCAATCCTTAACCCTAGTTGTTTTAACTCGAAGAGCGAGAGAGGCGATTGCGGCATAACGTTGCATAGAGGCGTGTTTTTTAGTCATTTTTGGTCTTGTGGTGCCGCGTTCTGCCTGCGCCACAGCCCCGCGTGAGAAGGAAAATGTGTCACACTACTGCTATGGTGCGTCTCTCTGTCGATCCCGACGGTAAGCGGAGGTTTGCGCTGCGGGTTGTCGTCCTCTCAGCAGTCTTCAAAGAAGACAGGCATCATACCAAAAGTTCATCTTGATATTAGAGTGAAGTGATTGCGCCGCTGCTACTACATACACGCCCTCGCTGCGCGACGACTACGGACCCGCGCGGCACGAAACAAAGCAGCCTACTGCCTGTGTATGTGTGCGTTTTGATCTCTACGAAAAAGCGGAGTTTTTTGCTGCCGATCTCGTGCCCTAAGCAGTCTACAAACTACTGTGAATCTGCGCGCTCAAGCCGTTTTTCTTTGCTTGGTTTTTGTGCGGCCACCAAACTATGTAGCGCGCTCGTTGTGCGCGACGGCCACGGCACTGATCGCCACCAAACCAAGCATGCTGCTGGTATTTCAGCCATCTCTACACATCCGTGCAACAGTTGGGAGCTGAAACGGCCCAGCGCGCGAAAATATAACAGTGGCAGTTTAGTTTGTAGAGACACAGAGAAGCAGGTCTGCACATTTGAGCACACCTTTGTATGTACCATGTACCAACAACGAAGAAGGTTCGCACCCCCCCTTTTGGCGGGATGCCGCCTTGGTTCATACACCACACGCCAGTTCGTCTGTCCCGCTTGAACATGAATAGACCATGTCCGAGTTTCTGAAGAGCTCATTACATGGAAGTACAGCACTACCAACAACCCACAGGGACCGACTGTACATATATTACAGAACGGGCCCGGAGATAGATAAGAAACGTCGAATTCGGGTCGAGCCTCAATATCTTATTTGGGCAGAAGGACCAGCCAAAGGCGGCCAATTTCTTAAGACGGATTATTTCTTATTCCTTGAGGCTTTCGCATCCTGCTGATTCTCCTAGTTCATTGTTTTCTCATTTCTGGCGAGGAAAATAGCAACACACCAAGCCTCCATGCAGCATTAAACCGAAAGCTCGGTGTGGCGAACATTGGGGGTTGTGGCAGAACAGCAGCAGCAGCAGTGGGTAGCGCAGCCCGCGGCGGTGCTGGGATGCGGGGGGCGCCTCGAAGATAACCACTCTCCCCCCTACCAAAACGTTACATGAGCTAGGACGTTTCTTATTGGACACGCGCCTACCCTTGTTTCTTATGTCTTGGGGGTATCGCACGATCATGTTTCTTATTGGGACGTTTCTTCGGGTGTGGCCGAGATCGAGCTGTGTTTGTTAGCCCTTTTGTCTGATTTTTCGTGAACGTTTGAGCTCTTTTTTCTTAACAGAGTTGTTACCATATAGCGCGGACACTTTGCTGATTATTACCCAATGTAAAGTTAACGATAATTAATTATTCATATCAGCAAACCGCGTCTAGCTCAGCTTCGAGGGTCGTTCCCACCACCCGCCAGCATTAGCGACATGTCCCGCTTGCCCCCCCCCCCCCCCGTTTTTGTTTCCCAAGCACCTTGTGAGAATGGGAAGAAATGTTGCCCAAAAGCCCCACATTGTGAGAGGGTAGGTTTGTCCTTGGTTGAGCCACATGATTCCCCTTCCTACCCTATTAGTCAATATATCGTGTTAAGGTAAACTGAACATGAACTTCCTGTGCAAGAGCCGCTCACAAAGTATCCTTCGGTCCATATGAGGTGGCGCATGTGGGCATGTTTGCAGAGACAAATCTGTCGTCAACACGATTAACCAAAGAGTCTCCATGCTCCGTCCTCCCTGCGCTATTTCGTGCCTGATGCTCCCTCGTCCTTCCAGAGGCGGGCAGTGGGGAATAATGGCGCAGAACACGCCCTTGCCGGCGGCAGCACCGCTCCACGACGCCGCCGGTGTCGGCGACGCCGTGGCTGTAGCCGACTTGCTGAAAGACGGCGCTGACCGTAACGCCAGAGTCGATCGCGAAGGCTATTCATACAGCGATGGAGCAACCGCCCTCCACATTGCCGCAAGGGAAGATCATCTATCAGTAGCTGTGGCTCTGCTCGCGGCAGGAGCATGGCCAGACGGTCGAGCGAGTGACGAAGATTGCAATGATCCAACTCCGCTCCACGAGGCCTCCGCGCGGGGGGGTGTTGAAGTCACCAAGGCTCTCTTGAAAGCGGGAGCGGGAAAGGATATTTTTGCCTCCTTCGGCACGGGCGGACCTTGCCTCACCGCTCTAGATCTCGCAGTGGAAAACGGCCACCTTGAGGTGGTGCGTACGCTGGCCGAGGCCGGAGCAGATGTCAACCTTATCTACGAGGACGGTTATGCCGAAGTTCCCCCCCTGGTCACTGCCGCGAAACAGGGAAATGTAGATGCGGCGCTCGTCCTGCTCGATGCGGGGGCTGACGTGAACGGCTTTGGGCAGGACGGATTTTCCGCCTTGCACCAAGCGAAAGACGTCCGCGTGATGGAGGTTCTGCTCAACGCCGGGGCAGACATTGAGCAAGGCATTACTACGGACTACGACAGCCACGGGTGTGACGAAGCTACCCCGATCGGCTGGCTGTCTCTGAAGACGCACCAGCGCTTCTCCCCTCTGCAGAATTTGGGGTACGGATTGGAGGTCGGGGCTGCCTTGTCCTCCGAGGACGAGATCGGGCGCGCGACGGCAATGGTTCAACTCCTTCTTCGTCGAGGAGCAAAGATCGACTCGAAAGCAGGATGCGTGGGGCACTGCCTGCGCACAGGAGCCCGCGGACCCCCTCTGTCGGCGGCAGTGTACAATGGTACCACGGCAATATGTGCAGCTCTCATCGACAATGGGGCCGACCTGGATGCAACGGACTGGGAGCTCCAAGACTTCGACGCCGACGGCGATGTCAAAATTCGCCCGATCCATGACGCGGCCCGCTTTGGGGACGTGGACATCCTGCGTCTACTTCTTGGCGCTGGTGCGGGTGCGAATAGCTTGTCGAACTTCCGGCGGGGTGATGATCTCGAGCGGTGGGGTACACCGTTGCACGTAGCGTGTCGCTACTCGCAACTGGGGTGTGTTCGTGAGCTGCTTCGGTGGGGAGCGGATGTGTGGGCGGAGGAGAGACAATCCAGCGGGGAGGAGGAGGAGGAGGAAGAGGAGGAGAAAGCACCCTGTGAATGCGAGTCATGTTTGTCGAAATCCGCTGGTTGCGGCAAGACTCCGGCAGAAGTGATCGGTCTACGGGATGTGGTAACCAATTTGGAGATCAATGCCAGGCCATCGGACAGCAGTGAGTCAACTCTGCGCTTTCAGTTGTATCGTGTGTATGCGCGAGAATCGTTCGCGTGCACTTGGTACTTACACACGCCCCACACGGTCGCTCCGCCGCTGCCCCGCCGTACCGTCCATACAACTGTCCGGCCGCATAACTGTCCTACAATAGCAACACACGCCACAGACAGGTCTGTACGATCGTGGCGTCTCCGCGCGAAACTAGGTGTCTGTCGGAGCATGTTTCACGTCTTGCGTTTGATTCTTGTGCGATTCCCGTAACATGTTGCCGCCCCGCCCCCCCGTTATCTGCACCCATCCCATTTCCAGCAACCGTCGGAGACGGCGACGAAATTCGTCGCGAGCTGCTTTGGTGGAGGAGGTGCGCGGTAGTTCTGCTGGCAGCTCGCCTGGCCAAGCAGGTGTCTGCGGATGGTGGCACGACCACAGGTGTGTCGTCCGCCAACACTGTCAAGCGGTCGCAGGTGCTTGCAGACGATGAGCTGCTAGCTATTGCCAGAAGGATGGCCAACCTGGGCGGTTCGAGCCAGGGGGCGTTTCGCCACATCGTCACGTTCTTGTAAACGGGCGATCGTTGGTGTCTGTACGCGTGCTCTCGCTCATGCAGGCGGGTAGCCTCTGGCCAATCGATGGCATTTTGACGTATTATTGGGCGTTGCACGTACATAAGTTGTTCGGCTCCGGAGGGAGCTTCGGTGACTTGTTCTGAACGATCGTTTCACACGTAGGACCAAGTCGATGCGATGCGAACGATCAGTCTTATTGGCTGTGCGGCGGAGGGAGGTGGTGGACCCACGTTCGCGGGGGGACGGTGCAGAGTGGGGGTCATTTGCGTGTTGTGATATTCCTTGGGGTTAAATCAACCTCTATTTGCTCTAAGAGTTACTCTCCTGTTTGTTATCGCGTTTCAAGTACAGCCAGCTCATTCCGAGCCAACGATATTTCGGGGAAGTAGCTCGTATCCCTTCCTGTATTTGCTCCCTGGGGACGCCTCGTAGAATAGGTAACGAACTGACTGCGCACGCGTTAGTTGCTGGCACTGCGTGTGTACCGTTTCTTCTCTTGCCGTTGCAACCTACAAACTGTTGCGCATGGTTCACGGTTCACGCTTGTTCCGGGAATGGACAGGATGGTCATCATATTCCTGACGCCTCCTCATGCTTTCGAGCGGGGCTCCCACAGTTTCGGCAGTTTTGGCCGGCGCCCCATGAGCGGCTCATGGGTGTGTTGCTCGCGAAACCGCTGCACCACGGGCCGCTTTGCGTGCATCAGCAACTTGGATGAACCTTGAGTCTCTTGCGGTAGTGATATCGTGGTTCGCGTGTGTTTTCCTACTTTTGAGGAGTTAATATAGACTCCGAGAAGGCATTCCTGTTTCAGTAGGGCATACGATATACCAAAGTAGAAGACGGTTCGTGAACGTACTTACGGCACAGTATGAATCAGGGCGTAACGAGCCTTCTAGCCCTGAGAAGTGGAAACAACGGTGCGCAGGACAAAGTCGCTTGACAATGGGACGTGCGTACCTGGGTGACGTGATGGCGCCGTAATTTCAAACCACGGAAAATGTTGGGATTCGCTACGAAAAAATCGTACTCAAATCCATAAACCACTCCATATCCAGAGGTTCGTGTGGGAAGACGCACGGAAGCCTTAATCTTGATTATGTCAAATCCAGAATTCGAAACCTGAATCGAAGACTCGAAACTCCACAACGCAACCCACCGGATGAAGCTAACCCTCTACAGCACATTAGAATAGGCAAACATACATCGTCATAAAACACTGGCGGGAAAGCACTGTTAGAGGCAGACCGAAGAAATAAGCAGAGACTAAATAATGAAAAAAAAAAAAAAAACTCAATGATGGACAAGGGCTGTCGGACACAGCTGCCAGCGTCACTAAGATGACACGTACATGCACACCGAGACAGCAGTGATCCCAAGACAGATCAGAGCAAGCGAGAGCTCTCACGCCAGGACACGAACGAGTCCACAGAAATCCGATTCCTTCCAAGCCGGTACACCAAAATGTTGCCAGATTTACAAGCAAGCGCAATACTCCTCGAGGACCCTGCGAGAGATTCGCTTGATCATTATTTTCGATTAACAGCAGGTGTTGCCTTGCCCTCTTTGGTGGATTGAAAAAAAAATGGCGACTTGAACAATAGACGGACGGCGGAGCCTTTCGTAGGAAATGGCCTTTTTTACCCATCCACTGACAAGCATGGTCCGGTAAGAACCCGGCGTGCTCCGTCCCGGCTTTGTAGGCATGCGAGGTCAATGGTCTAACGACGACAGCATGCAAGACTGTGAGTACACTCCCCCCTGACAAATTTTGTCCAACAGAGGCAGCTCACGGCGTAACCCATCAATCTCTCCGAGGAACGTCCCTCCATCCTTGAAAATTCAAACCCCGTAACAACGATAAAATGTTGGAAAGTTACCCTCGTATATTACCATGCACCCGCCGCTCTCGTTAGAGTGAAAACACTCATGAGCTCGACCATACAATGCCGGTTCAGGGGGGGCAAAACCAAACATGCTTTGAAATTTTACGAGGCACGGGAAACCAACAACACGGATGTCACAAAACGCGTCCATCAAAATTCTCCCAGAACAAAACAAAGCAACAGGCTGTCTACAGTGCAACCACATAATCCCGGCGGAATATATACAAATTCTGAAAAACTACTCCAAGGTTTTCAGTTCACACCTTTTCACGCATGGGACACAGGAAAACGCAGACGGACAGCAGGGCACCGCCAGAAAACCAAAACCTTTACCACGTGAAACACCCACGGAACATCCTCATTCGAGCAGCAGCAAAGCCGCCTGCCGCCCTGTGTGCGATTCTGCCCTCTCCTGGACTCCTGAGTTCGCAGTCACAAGAGCACCAAAAGTTTCAAAAAAAAAAAGAAAAAGAATGTCCTTTGTAGTCCAACACTTTCAAAGAACAGGGAACACATTCGTCGTCGTCTTTTTAGGCGGTCGGAAGCTTTGCCGTCGCCTCGGTAGGGGAGAGGGGCACCGGGAACCACAGCTCGTTCGTCCTCAGGAAGGGGAGAGTCCAGGGAGGGTCATACCTGACAGATCCGGGGGGGGAGGAAGGAGCACGTGAACATCGAGACGAGACAAAAGCTACTCAGGTTACGTTTTGGGTATGTTGTCGTTGTTGTCTTCACAAAAAAAAAAAAGTTCCGTTCTTCTGTCTGTACTAATCTAACACTTGACGCGGTCAACTCCCGTGGTCACGGGCTAACTTACCCAAGAAAGGTAAGGAGCATAAAAGCGAGAAAAAAAAAGTGCTCAGGGTAAATTTTCGGGCGTGTAAGGAGAGCACGTAAACAGGGAAGGGACACTAGCTGCTCGGGTTTTTTCTCGCGTGTAGGCTGTTTGCACCGGGTGGTGCGGTACCTGTTGAGAACAGCACGCTGTCACCGAAACGATTGGCGGGGCGGTGGCTGCAACAAACGCGACTCTGACAAAGACGTAACAACAAGCGAATAAAAGATACGCCTCCTGAAGCATCAAGACCACGCACACGCCGACTTTTTACTTCGTGTCCGCAAAAACATACCAATCTTGTCCAGAGGGAGTCGCAACGGGTGCCACTGCAGAAGCTTGGTGGCGCGGCTGCGGCTGGAAGCGCTGCTGCCTACTCTCGTTCTAACTGCAACTAGCTCATACCCCACGTGATCCAACTGCTTAGCCGCTCCGGTGCGGCCATTCTGATCACACCCATTGGCCAGCCGCCGAAAAGACTAGTCGGCGCACTCCGAGACAACCACTGCAGAACCTGGCATCACACGCAAACCCTCAGCGCGTTTGTCGACTCGTCGGTCTCCGCCAACAATGACGACACCTCTCCTCGATCTGCCGACTGGCGCGACCGGTGCCACAAAAAATACAGGTGCACGAAAATGACGGGGTACCGCGCAAGACACACTCAGGCAGGTGCAGCTAACAACTACACGCGAAAAAAAAACAAGCACGCACACAAAAACACCTGGCCACCAAAATCTTGGGGCCGGCGGAAAAAATAGGTTGACGCACAAAACAACACACGAAGACGCACCTCACCGATACGAGCGAAAAAAACAACACTCTCACGGGGGTCCCAGATTGTGGCCTCTAGAAGCATTTTGGATTTTCAACCGTACTGAGACTGACGTCTTTTCATTGGTCAACCAGTCAGCGTGGTAGACGCTAATAACGAAGACACACACGCTAAGGCTGACGTATGTTAAGTGGTCAGCCGGTCGGCTCGGTTGATGCTAGCCGCACGCACGCACTGACGCCCTTTCATTGGTCAGCCGGTTGGTGCGGTCGATGCGAATAAACACAAACACACACACACGTCCCTGGCCACCACAAACTTGGAGTCTAGGTTGATGCACGCAACACACAATAAGTCGAACTACCGACAAGCGTCAAACCAAAAAACAAACCGGGCCACAAAGAAGTTGGAATAAGCGGAAAATATAGGCTGGCGCACCTTTCACACGAAACCATCTGTGTAGTTCCAACCGCACTGAGACTGAATTATTTTCATTAGTCAGACGAATAGAGCGGTCGACGCAAACAAAAAAAAACACACACACATACAAACACACACACTAGAACACACCTGGCCGCCAAAAACTTGGGAGTCTAGGTTAACGCACACAACACCACGAAAGTCGCACCACCGGCAAGCGCCAAGCAAAAAAACACACCTGGCCACCAAAAACTTCGAGTCGGCGGAGACGTACTCAGAGAACGCGCCGCCCTCCGAGGCAACCTTCTCCACGGCGACTATCCGCTCCCGCTCGGCGATGGCATCGTGGCCGTCCCCCCTGCCCATGTTTCCCGAGAACTGATGCACGAGGTACACAGCTTCCGGCACTTCCCGGAGGGAAACGCGGCTGTCTGTGGGTGTCGGCAGGTCGCTGCCGGCGGGAGGGCGGGGGGGCGGGACGGAGGTCTTGTATGCCTTAGCTGTTAGACCACCTGTCCTCGAGAAGAAGGAGCATTGTTTCCTACAGGACCGATGGCCAATCGTGCCTTCCTCCCTTGCCAAAGGTGGGGGTAAAGTAGTTCAGTGCTGTGCCTTCGATTGAGCTACCTAAACGTTGCCGCTTTTGTCAGCGTTCGGGTGGAGCGTTCCTGTTATCGAGCCTATGCGTCTCTCGCTCTCGTGTCTTGCAAAAGACACGTCGGCAAAAAATACGATGACTTATGGTGGCGGGGACCGTGAAGCTTGAGAAATAAAACGACCATGAAGCATGCATCCCTCCGATGTATTCCGTTGGACGGCCAAGGTGCGAAGATGCACGTCAAGCTCGAGAAACAAAAACACCATGAAGTATGCATGTCTGTGATAAATTCTGTTGGACGGCAAGGTGGGAAGATGCACCAAAACGTTCCCCAGGAGCCCCAAAAGCTGTGGAGAAATCGAGCGCGAAACTTAACGCCTCTGGTCGCGCAGCATTCAACCACGTATACCGCTACGTACAGCGTCGCGGCCAACGAGCGGGGACCACTACTGCATACGACAGGTTCTTCGGTGGTCGGGTTCGAACCTGATTCTCTTGAACTGCTTGGGCATGATGAACTGCATCGTGCTTGTGCCAGTCCCGGGCCCTACGACGACCGGCGCGGTCATGCTAATCTTCTTGCCTGAAAGAAGGTGCGAGCATGGGTGGGGGCGGGTGGGGGGCTTGCTCATGTTTTGTCCAAGGCCTTGGCGGTTGACCACGCGTCGTCCTCGAGAGGACGGAGCGTTGTTCCCTCACGACCGATTGCCAACCGTTCCTTCCTACTTTGCCACAGGTGGCCCAAAGAGTTTCACTATCCTATCCTACTGGCCGGGTGGGCGGGTGGGTGGGTGTGGGTAGTGAGTTCACCGTATCAAGCGAAGGGTTACTTACGCCTCTGCGGGATACCGTAAACCGTAACCGTCGGGGGTGACGCTACATGTAACCGTCAATACATTATAGTACAAAGGAGCCGGAAATGTTGTCGCTCAAGATGTAACCATGCTAAGCCAACTTTCGTTTCATGGTGAATAACCTGACCCCCCCTTCTACTATCGCCTTCTGCCTCCACCTTCGCTCATGGTGACGTCTGTCTCAGCCGAATCGCCAGAGGAGCCCCGATTCAGGGTCACGCAAAAAAACGCAAACCCTCTAGACATGAAAATGAATAATTAATGAACGCGATGCAAAATGCGACCAAAACGCTCCCGTCAAGCATCCGTGCAAATCGATACGCCATCATTGCCTAGAAAAAAAGAAAGGAAAAAACCACCACCACCACGCCGTCAAGACAGAAAACACTATTAATATTTGCATTGTACGGCACTCTCCGAAGCCCCCTGCTGAAAATTTGGGCGATTCCCAGTTCCCTCGGAAAAGACAAGTTTCCCCCGCAGAGAAGCGGCATACGTCAAGGCATGAGCACGCTCGGCTGCTGCAGATCATGGGTGGCGCGGAATTCGCGCCAACAGTAAGGGCGGAAAAAACATCGAGCGACTGCTGCGTGTTCCGTCTTACCGGAGTCGGGCGTGGGGTCCCCGGTAACGACCGGGGCTGTCATTGCGATGTTCTCCCCCGCGTCGCCCCCGGCGACCTTGTTCGCCGGGTTGCCGAAGACCCCGATATACTGTTTCAACGAAGGCGTGAGCGAGAAGGGGAAGGGGGGGAGGGGGGTTATCTTCAGTGCTGGCCGCCTGAGAGGTCAGTTGATCATCGACCACGCACACCTCTTCTTGTGCGTCAAGTTTGTCTCATTTTGGGGGGGGGGGGGGGGTTGTTTGCGACCGATCATCGCGTTGCTCCGAGCTGCATCGTCACGCACTACTACAGAACCCCAGAAACAACAACAACAACGCAAAAAGAACTTTTTTAAGGGTGTGAAGAACACCACCGTGCAATGACCCGTCCGTCCCTCGGTGACAGGTAAGGCAGGCACCCGACTTCTTGCGAGTCCACACGCAGACGTTCTCTAGTCTAAACAAGACGTACAAATGGCGTGCGCGTTATGGCGTATGAGACAAGCATTCGGCGCCACTCTATGAGGCTGTTTCGAAGCACTACGCAAGAGCTGCAGATGTCGGGCTGGCACTCGCTGCGGCTGATTGATGCGCCGACTTAATCCGAGCACACCAATGCAGTCTCGAGAGGCACATCGAGTATCTCCAACGGGTAGTGTTTCTGTGACTGTATTATATATTCTTAAAAGAGAGGAACAGAGAAAGGGTAGGTCCATGAAACGAATAGCGGTACACTGCTGCTGTACACGTACAGACAGGCACGAACAACCGGCCACACATTCAAGTGCCCTTACAGCAGGGTCTCTTCATGGTTGCCGCAGGGATGCTTGTGATCGAGGCATCACGCCGAACGCCGAAACATTTCTCCTGCACTCATGTCAGGTGTCCCACCACAATCAGCCAAGACTCAAAAACAAATGCCGCTTACTCGAGATGACCAATGGTGTGAGTTGTCCACAGGTCATTGAGCCAATAATGCCTTCGTCGAGATACCAGAGGGGGGTGTCGGCGTAAGCGGTAAACAAGCAGCACCGTCGGTTCAAAGGTTACAGCAAATCTGAGAGCTTCGCCAGCCATGATCGGCCCCAAGGAACTCTGCTGTTACTTCTCTGCAAGTCTGCTTTCGAAGTCTGTCTGACAAATCAAGCTCCAGACCGGCAATGTGCACCATTGACATTCCTCGGAGCAGGAGACATCATTGTAAGTGGTGTCACCCCGTGTTCTTGTTATGGTATAAACTACAATTAATACTGCTGTTGTTGACGATTGCTCGGAGCAGGGAGCACCTCTGAGTGTTTCTTGACCGAGCGGGTCTTTTATATTATCCCCCCGTTCCCATCACGTCCACCGCCACCCCACTCGTCACGGAGACTACTGAAGAGCGTAGAGACAGACGGCAACGCCGTCTTTCTCGCGATGAAAACGCTGGAAAGATCAATGTTCTAAAGGGCTTGCCCTGGTCACAGGGGTTGAAAAAGTTGCCAAGTTTACCCAGAGCATACATAGCTCCAATCGTCACGACGGCAACGACATATTCCAACACTGCCCGTGATATTGTTGTTTCGGCATTATTCACCGCAACCGTTCACACGTTCACACCTTCTCTCTGCTGCTCTTTGGGTAGCTGCGAATTGCAGGCACATACTGTAGCTACAGCAGTGACGAGTAGTCTTGCAGGCGGGGGGAAGATACATGATCCACGTGGCTGAGCGCTGACAAATAGTCCGCACGTCGTCGCTATCATCAACACAAGGACAAAGAACGCTTGTTCTACTCCCTGTGCCTCTCCTTGTCCAATGCCGAGGCCCGTTCTCTGACCTTGGCCAGCGTCCTGAATCGGTCATCCTCGGAGCCCTCCCCGGAGTTCTCCACCTCGGCAACGACATAGCCATCGTAGGCGCGAAGCTCGTAACTGGCTCCATGTCCGAGAACATCGTATTCGGGAACGGGCGTGCTCCCCTTTCCGACGACTCCGCCCATGATGGAACGGAAGAAAGCTCTCTGCTGCGCGAGGGGCCTGTGGATGGATATGCTTCTGCTGTTGCAGAATCTAGTGGAGCTGTGGAGGTCCAGACGTGGTGCAGTGGAGTCCAGAGCTGCGGTGTGGCATGTGCGTGGTTGAGGCTCCGTCAAATACGCCCAGATACCCACGCTATGCGTGCTCAGCCGCGAAGCCCCCTCCTCTCGCCCCTCAAGCACCGACACCCAGCCAGAGCGGTTGACTTTCATCACGCAAAAGCACAAACCGGAGCCCGTCCACACGCCCTCCCTGCGGGAAAGTCTCTTGCATCACCTCAGTTACATCCAGAGGAAAAGGGGGGGGGAGTAAGACAGAAAGAGTGCCGGTGGTGGAGTAGAGACATGTTCGAGCAAGAAGGGATGATCGCAAGATGCGCGGGCAGCACGACGCGTGTAGCATCAACAACAACCTCCTCACCCGCGAGCAGCCGGCGGCCGAGGGCCAGCCGCAGACCCGGCAGGCTGGGGTTCTGGCTGGTGGCAGTTCTTGTGGGGACTAGCTGCGGCGGCGCCCGAGGGCAGCAGGAGGACTACGACTACGGCGGGTACGCCCAGCAGCAAGCGCCGATGCGAGCCGGGTGAGGAGAGCAAGGAGCTACAACAACCCTTGTTTGCATCATTCATTCATTCATGCGCTGTCCCGACCTGCTGCAAGCGTGTTGAACAAGATTTGAGGATGGCGGTACAGTTGGGCTTGTTGGTGAAGAGCACCCCCCGGGTAATAACGCGCCTGCCGAGGTGGTTGTTTTTTTTCGTGTGTACCTTGATGTGCTTTGGTCTTTGTTGCATGTTCCCTAGGGTTATCTGTCGGGTGTGTGCGTGCAAAGAGAGCGGCGGGGGGGAGAACCACACACTTTTTCGCTCTCTTTCTCATGTCTCCGGCAGCGGTTGATGGGCCACGTAACCGGTCCTGGATGCACGTTGAACTATTGTCACCTACGTTTTCGCGAGAGAGACAACGTGAGGTAACCAAACACATATCATATGCTGTGCACCCTTGTTTTAAACACCCACCCACAGGATCATGTGTGTGCGAAGTCCACAGCGAACGGATCCTTCTCTTTATTCAAGTAATAGTATGGTATCTTGGTGAACAACGGTACCGGGCGGCCCGTTCTGTTGCGAACGACCAACGGCTACTGCCGAGATCGCTCGCCGACCTAACCAGCAGCACGCCCCGTGATAGATCGAGGATGCGCAAAAATTGTTTTGGCGTCCCAGCGAAGCACAAGTACTGCTGTGCGGTCAAGCTTGGTGCGGTAGGAGATCGCACACAAATAGCACCAAGTCTCGTTCCGGATTCGGTGCGCCCCGTCTTCGTCGTGTCAGTTACACGAATCAACGGGTGCCTACCGCGCCTTGGTTCCCCGCCCGTGCTGATGGCTCTACCCCTCTAACAAACCCTGCAGCACCGAATCTCGCAGTACCATCCAACTACAGCAGTACATTGGACGCGAAAAATATGCCGCACACAGCAGCCGGTAGTAACCCGCCGCACGAGCCTGGATGTACGGTAATCGGACAGCCGGTAAAAACAAGGAAGAATTTTGTAAATTTGATATTGGTCCCAGGCGATGATGTTTGTTGGTATGTTGCGTGGACCACACGAGAGCCCTCGAGCCGCGGGCAAGCAAGCACTCTCAAGCGTGGGCGTCACGTGTACTGCCGAGCGAGTGCTCTCAGTATGTATCAACATGGTGGTGTGACACAGACCCCGGATCCATCCGTGGAGGGTGTGAACCAGCGGGTTCCACCCGTCCCGCTATGTTTGTTTCTTACTCGTTGAGTGTTGTGTCAGATCTCGATTGCGGTTGAGAGCGCAACCAGGCGCCCAGCTCGTTTCCAATACTACATTTTGGTTTTCACGGAGGGGAAGAGAACCTACCGCGGTCGCGTAAGAACCCCCCTCCCCTGGACCGAGGACAGTAAGCACAAGATGCCGAACACTCTTTAGCAGGATGCAGCGCACCCTCCATGCGACTCGCCGACCACCTCACGGCGCTTCGCGCTTGGTGATGTGAGATCCTGGTCCGGGTGAAAACCCGGCGTGCTCCGTCCCGGCTTGGTAGGGATGCGAGGTCAATGGTCTAACGACTGCGGCATGCACGACTATGAGTACACACACACACACACACGCAACGGGACCGGTTTCCAAAGCTCGATTATTCCGCGACTAAATACCAAAATTTTCCAAATTTAAGTATGCCGCATGTTTTTGAATTATTTCGGTTCGACGGTTCCAACGCCGCCATTTTCCGCACCGTCACGGTTGCCGCTGCGGAGTAGTCGATACCCGAGACTGTGGCTTGGGAATACGCGAGAAACCGATGCAAAACATGAGTACGCCCCCCTATTTTATCCTGCTTTTTTGGGCCGGCAGGGGCGGTGGAGAGGGCGGCGGCCTGATGAAGCCACTGGCGGCTGTGGCGACGAGCTTCGTGGCGATGAAGTTGCTCTTCTCCCACCACAGGAAGAGGAAGGGCATCAAGGCGCTGGAGCAGGTATGGAAATTACTTAAACTCTCGGTGGTTTCCTTCTCGTCCAATAGCGGTCGATGCACGGGGACGTGTGGTTGTGCTAAAAGTGTTGGACGGGTGACCAGACGTTAACACCCTAGCAGCCGATCCTTGTGAACTTTGTACGGGGACAGGGGACTCCGTGACTTCATCAGATCAAACATATACCCCCAGGCTTCGTGTATCATGCCGACAGCCGTGTACACCAAACAGGGTGGTTGCGGCTTGGACGCCAAGACTCTCGTCGGGAGACAAGATGCAATTGCCGTAAATGACGTATGATATCACCCCCCCCCCCCCCCCCCCGAAAAAGGATTTTTAAAACCCTATGGGTCTTCAGCAAAAAAATCTGGGGGGCCCAAGCTCTCCTCGGGAAAAAAAAAGCAAACCCCCTGGGTCCCGTATGAACCCCTCCCCCGAAGCGATTTTTAAAACTCGATTACTCTTCCGCCACCAAAAAAGGGAGTAGTGGGGCGTAAAATGGGGGTATTAAAAACCTCCCCCCCGGGGCTTTTCAAAAATTTGTCATGAATGCCCGGGAAGGATCCCCTTCCTCCGGGAACAATCCCCCTTTTAATTTCGGTCCCGGGGGGGGGATGTCTTTAATTTA